GCAGCAAAAGCAGCAAAATCGCATCTGCTGCTTCATTTTTGCTGCTTGTACCAGTTAGTTCTGACGCGCCGCTGAAGCAGCTTTGCTGCTCTGGCTGCAAAAGTGTGTCTGAGGCGCGTTGGGCGGAGCTTCACTATCCTTTCTCTGCCTTGCAGCTATATTTGCTGTGATCAGTGGGAATAAAGTAGTTTTAATATGTTTTTAAGTGAGAAAATACACCTGAAAACGTAATCAGTGCAGTCAGTTCATTCAGATTATTATCCTGCCTTCAATATTTTTTCTGTCGGAGCCGCTCAGACCCCCACATACCAGGGATGCGCCGACAGTATGGATCCCTTCATCAGCAGCGGTTAACCGCGGCAGCTGGTAGGTGTTTTTCATCTAAATAATCCAAACTGCATATTCTGCCGGCAGATTTCTGCATTTTAAGTTAATTTAGGCGTCAATAAACTGTTTAAGAGCAGTGATCATCAGCGCTGTGTCTCTCTCCCTGCGTTAAACGCACCCGACGCGCTGCTGCAGCCGCTCAGACGTGCTGCGCCTGCAGGTCAAAACGCGCGCGTCAACCATTGACTTTGCATGTAAACTCGCTGCTTCTGTCGCGCCAGCTACATCCAGTGTGAACGCAGCGTTAGTCATTCGCTGCTAAGCTCAAAACAACCGCGCCTGGCTTGACGGAGAAACCAGGAGAACAGCTGAGCATATTTACGACAGTGCACTTTTACTTTCGCCCTCTGGAGGGAGCCTCACTGGAAAATCAACACCGGTTGCATAGTGTACCTTTAAGTACTTTTCCAGCTTCTCCAATATTTAGAGCACATCTAAAGCTCAAACCACATGTAAAGGTGAAACAGGTCACTATGTGTATATTCACATGTTAGTATAAACAAAAAAATAGAATAAGATTAATATTTTTTTCATAATTATAGTAAAAGCTAATGTAAAGAAACGTGTCAAAGAAACATTCAATTATGGTGTCATGGATTTGGTTGATTTAAGAGTTAAACTCTTTAACTCTTAAATCCAGACAAATTAAAACTAAAGACTCTGACCACTGCACAAAACCTTCAACACATCCCAAAGACTTTTAACGGGATTAAGATCTGGCTTCTGTGGTGGCCGATCCATGTTTGATAGTGATGTCTTGTGCTCCCTAAACCACTCTTTCACAATTCAATCCCGGATTAATCCTGAATTCCTCCATAATTCCTCCATACTGCTCGTCCAATGTATTCCAAGTGTCCTGAGTGGGTAGCGTCCATAATTTACTCGAAACAAAGTCATTTAGAATGTTTTTAGAGCATAAACAGTAGTGTATAGGATTTCCTGAAAGTGCGCACATGCGCGCTCACGACGCTACGGAAGCCGGGAGACTAAACCAGATGAAAGTGCGCATTCAGCGTCTGCTCTGCCAATAATGCAAGCATAGAAGAAGAAATGTGCTGTTTACCTGTGCAAAGAAAGAAACAACGAAAGAAAAATGTCTGAGGACTTCAGTGTTGAGGAAGAGCATGTGTTCTTTGCCGAGCTGAATGCGCTGGTTTGGTCTGCCGGCTTCCGTAGCGCCGTGAGCGCGCATGTGCGCGCTTTCAGGAAATCCTATACACTACTGTTTATGCTCTAAAAACATTCTAAATGACTTCGTTTCGAGTAAATTCTGGATGCTACCCACTCAGGACACTTGGATTACATTGGACGAGCAGTATGGAGGAATATTGACACGTTTTTTGTGGACTTTTATGGACCTTTCTGTCTCGGTCACCATAGACCTCCATTATTTGAATGTCAGCAGACAGCAAGAAGCCTCCCAGATCTCCAGATGCATTTGAGATATCAAAAAAGTACTCCAGAGTGTTGTTCAGCATGGGGGTGAGTAGAAAATGAAAGCTAATCATGTTTTGGGTGTACTATTCCTTTAAGGACCAGCAACAAATACCCTATATAATCATTCTATGACCCCTTTTAAGGGTTAAACACCACAATGTTCTTGTTAATAACAATTTTCTACACTGTTTAAGTACATTAAAGGAAAATATTTTCTATCATACTTGCACTTTTTGTATCATATTTGCACTACCATCCAACACATCAAAATAAAGAAAAGAAAAGAAAGAAAATAAGGTTTGAAGAGACAGTTTGTTCTGGGCCTGTAGTTTTTTTTTTATTTCTAATGCATTCCTATTACTGTAAGCTGTTTAAAAAAAGTTTGATCACTGCAGTTCACAAGTGACCAAAGGGAGTAGAAGTTTTTAATTTTGACAATATTTCAGGAACAGCATATCTAAGGAAATCTTTTTTTTAAATCATATTTTTAATATTGGTTTATATACGGTTTCTGTCAGATACATATGAGGATTTAAATGATCCAGATACAATCATAAATCTGTTGTTATAAGGGAAATCCAGTTAAGCAATAATGGAAACACATACTGCTAAGCTTGTTCACTGTATTTGCTGGGTGGGTGAGTTTGTTGTTGCCCTTTCAACAATAGGTCTATGGATTTTAGATGTTTTAATGACAACATCAGAGAGATGTTACAGTCTTTTCTGTTTAAATTTCAGGTTATTGGTAAGAAAACTCTATAAATTTAATAATGAACCTTGCGTTTAGTTTTACTTAATTTATTAACAATTGTGGGATTCATATTGCAAATTATAACCTAAAATAGGTGTTTTTTATCATTAAAATTAGAGGAATATTAGTAAGATCTGTGATGTGATTTTAGAATGTGGAGAAGTTATGGTGGATTTATACTAAATTACTTAGTAATAACATACATTTTCCCTGCAGGTTTATCTACTGGAAGTGGTATGTTACCAGATGGTCCACTCAATGCTGCTGTTGGAGGAAAAGTGTTGTTAAAAACGAACTTTAATCCAACTAAAATGCCTTTTCTGTTGGTTAGCTGGCAAATTGGTAATCCAGTACCTAAGGGTTAATTCTGGATTTAGATAAAAAGTGATTAAACCTGAAGAGCAGATCTTCTTGCTGTAACTTTAGAGCTGTTGGTTTTATAGGAAAACCTTCTTGTGAAAGCACATTTTATGCCCAGTAAATAAATAACATTTCTAAGACAGACATTCATATACCGGTATCTGCATAAAGTATATGTAAGTATATTAACTACTACCACTACTTTGTTCTATTTCTATTCTGTTCACATAATGTATTTGAGTCACTTAAATAAATTAACTTGATATTCTATGTCATTATTTACAAGAAGGTATGTTACCATTTGCATTTGTAAGTATATATGATTGTTATTGTGAAAAGATTGCAGACCATACTTGCCAGAATTTTATACCCATCAAGTATATTTATCATGCAAAGTCTGTGCACCAAGTTTTTTTTTTTCCTACAGTCATCCTGACCTAGTTTAAAGTAAATGTAGGTCATTCTCCTTTGTTTTATGATGTTGTAGTTATTCATCTACTAGATTGTTTTTAGAACTTTTATATACAGCCTATATAAAACTGTTTCTGATTAGAGGATTTTTTTTCATGTGTTGAACAAAATCTATGACTTTTGTACGACGGAGTATTAGGGCCACACATGAAAAGAAAAAATATTTTTGCCATGACGAGATTAATCTCGACATGTCAACGTTAAAGTCGACATGTCAACATTAAACTCAACATTTCAAAAATAAAGTTGAAATGTCATGTTGAGTTTAATCTCGACGTGTCGACTTTAAACTCGCCATTTCGAGAATAAAGTTGAAATATCGTGGCGACTTTAATCTCGACATTCCAAAGTTTGGAGAAAAGAGCAACCGGGCTCCACAGCTGCAGTCTGCGTTTTAAGAGTGAAGGTAGTCTTTGACGTGCTGCAACTGTATAATCATCACAGAAAGTACAATTTCACCAAATCATCTACACAAGGCATGTCTGATTCTGGATTCTGTGCATGTATCCTGTGCAGCGGTTGGCTCTCTTGAACTAATTTCAACTTTATTGTCGACACGTCGAGATTAAACTCAACATGACATTTCAACTTTATTCTCGAAATGGCGAGTTTAAAGTTGACAGGGCGAGTTTAAAGTCGACACGTCGAGATTAAACTCAACATGACATTTCAACTTTATTCTCGAAATGGCGAGTTTAATGTCGACATGTCGACTTTAAAGTCGACATGTCGAGTTTCATCTCGTCATGGCAAAAATATTTTTTCTCTTCATGTGTGGCCCTAATACTCTGTCGTACTTTTGGTCTACCAAACAATTATGAGAGGACACTTTTTTTTTATATTTCATGTGACCTTAATTTACAATAAGAAATATACATATTTTGGACATATCATTTCACTGATTCTTTTAATTTCTTTTAAACATGAACATATTTTATATTGTACATTTTTAGGTGCCTCTACATTTTATTAAAACAAGAAAGGCATACATAAATGTTCCTTACAAATCGAAGTTATTGTCATGGTTTGGGCTTCTTTTTTTTTTTATTTTTTTTTTTATGTTAGTGTTAACCTGTGTTAACATTTTTGTTAGTTGTCTATTTCTCTGGTTTACCTTGTAGCATTTCCACTTATTTTCTCTTAACTTAAGTTAGATTATTCTTATATTTTTGGATAGGTTCTCCCTCTTGTCTTCGCTGTTTTAATTAAGATCTAGCTAAAAGAGCACTGTATCACTGGAGAACATTACAAAGCGCATTTTCAATTAGGTCATGACTTTTTGCATGCCTGCTCCACTCCATCCATCCCCCATAAGTTCCCTTTGTTAATAAAATCTCCAGTATCCTAATTATACTGCTCCACTCTAAATTTCTGCAGATTATTCCACAATCACACATTGACAGTTACCTACGAATTAAACCTTTTTGCACAATAGTTTAGCTGAAGGACAATGAGACAATCGAAGCTGTCCAGTGTTAATCATTAATAAATTAGTTTGACTAGACCTCTTAAGGACAAACACTTGGACTTCCTTGTGCTACTGTACTTAAATACCTCATAAAAGCCAACAACAGTCAAAAAGGGGAAAGAGATATCTACACTTCTATCTTATACTTCATAGAAGAAATATGAAAGCAGAAGCTACATTTCTTATTCTCCTTGCAACCATTGCAGGTGAGTTTTACTAAATGATAAGCAAAATAAAAACATTATTATGCTTTAGAAAAATATTTTATCACCCAGTCCATCACAGGCTGCAGAGGTGCAATGAATTATTTTTAAGTAACTGTATCCTCCAGGTTTATCTGAGGGAGCTGGTGTGCTACTACAAAACCCACTGAATGTATCTGTTGGGGAAGTGAGCATGCTGGACACATATGGTGAGTAATAGATTCAACACAATGCTTTACTTCTAAAGCCTACATCATTTATAACCAACTTTTTTACATTATCTATTAATTTCTCTTTTAATCTGTGTAAAATGTCTAAGATATTTTTGTATGAAGCTGACTAAAAACTTCTGTATTTGTATTAACTCTTATTAGTGTATTATCTACATTAATACATATTAACATAGAAGTGATTTTAACACACACATTAAGGAGCTGTTACATTTATTTTTCTTTTAGTCTATTATTTAAAAACAGATTGAAAAAACTGAAAAAAATAAACTCTTAACTTTTTAAAATCTTTCACTATCATAAGCAAAAAAATGAGTTACATCCCGAAAACCTTCCAATTTCACAATATTTCTATTAAATCATAAAAATATTTGCTTATCATGATAGCATTTTTAATAGGCTTAGTGGAATGTACGTCTCTTTATTTCACCAAACAAGTAAAAATTGTATCAGATTTTAGGATCGCATTGTAGGTTTAAAATTTCAATAAAGTTTAAAGAAAAGGTTTCAAAATGTATGACCATTAGAAATATGCTGTAAAAGTGCTGTAAAAAACATGCAGTAAAAATGTGGGAAAACATGTATATTTCATATATCTATTTTCATTGCACAAGTTATTGCCGTTGTAGTGTCGCATTAGTAGGTGCATGGATAAGAAGTTTAAGAAACAACTCAAAACTTACAAATCAGATCAGGAGCCCACATCAGCAAAGAGACAGTAAGCAAAATAAAGGACCCAGTAGAAAACAAAATCAAACTGGAGGCATGAGTAACACAGTAGCAGCCTTTCAAAATGGCCCTTCCCAGCCAAACGCCAGCCGAATGGCAGCCCACTTCTTTGCAACTCCCAGCAAAATCCTCTCCAACTTCCAGCCTCTGCAGTAACCCCCTCCTTCTCCTCGAGGTGCATTTTTTTTTTTTTATCTGACTTCACCCTTTCGCTGAATTACAGGGTCTGAACAGGAGATGATGCTTATCTTTAGATCTTAATGTCCATAAATCACGACAGAAAGAATATTTTAGTACAAAGATTAATGTTTAAAATGGAATTGTAAGGGACCAGCCAAGGACAACCTAAGGGCACATCAAGGAAAGTGGGGAAATTTTGAATGGCTATTACTGTAAATCGAAATGTGCAGACAATGGACATAATGAAGAGTTTCAGATGAAACCACTAAACTGGTGACCAAGGCTGAAGAGGAAAAAATTACCACGGCAGAAAGGGAGAAACAAGGAATAAACCAATATAATATATAGATTAAAAAAATGCAATAATCAAGATTAAAGAACTGACAAACTAAGGGCACAGAACCATCAAATTAAACTAAAAAAAAACAAATAGATCATCTCAAGACCTCCCATTTACCCAAAGGACGCCAGACCTATGTAGCCTGACAAGCCAGATTGATAATTTGTGAATGTGCCCACTTATCAAAGTTGGGCTTTAGCCAATCAGGAGTAAAAAAAAAAGGCCCTAGACAGACTCTTAGTCCTGAAGCCTGGTTGAGCAGAGTTCTCGTAGGTCGGAGACAAAGACAAACCTGGAGGCTGGCTGAGATGAGACATCATGGACCGGAATTTAGGAACCATGACCTATATGTTGGAGGCAAACAAAAAAAATTTGGCAACTGGCAGTAGTGAAGGCAATGACCTAGTAATAGGATGCAGCAAGGTTGTCTTGAGATCATATTTTATTCTGCATCGAACAGCAACTTTTTTTGTTAACAGAACCCAATATGTTGGTCCTGCTTAGAATCTGGCTATCTTCAAGGAAAAGTCCGGTCAGCAAGGAATAACCAAAGGGTCATTGTTTATACCTAAAACAAATACGTTCACAGTAATTTAATAAATTTAGTTAATCAGTAAAGATCAAAACAATATTTTTCGTTGCGATCTGAGTACTGAGTATGGGTTCCAGACATTTTTGCCCAGATATAGTAAACCCTCACTCCTGATATCTTCCAGCAGGGATGTTGCGGTGCAGTAAGCCAAAGGCCATTCTCCCTGCTTTAGAAGCAAAATCAATGGGAACTAATAGACACCCCTCCAATTAACAACAATTATTTAAGATTTTGAGAGGACTTCACCATTTAAATCCGCGAGAGCTATAGATAAATTGACAATGCCCGATTGCATGGGATTTGGATGTTGTAATGCATCGAGTAAAAGTGGGAAAAAAAATTAACATTTCACCTTTCCAATTCATGATCCACCATAAGTTCGTTGTTGGATTGCCAACTTGAACAGGGAGGATTTGCTGTCAAACCTCTGGCCAGAGAAAAAACACGTCATTCATCTGTTACTCTCTGCTTCGCATAGTGAACTGGTTGTCACCGTCATGGATAATAGCGTGTTATGAAAAACACAGGCACAGCACTAGGACTTGATCAACAGCCGATACCGCAGTGTGACGTCATAAACCGGTAGATGGCAGTAGTACTCTTTGACAAAAGTGGATGTCTCCGGTAAAGCGCATTCAAATGAAATTACTCTTAATTAAAAAGACTTATCATTTATTGAAAAGTATGTAATAATTTCATACTTAAAGTACTTTCAGAAGTTTGTATTCTGAATGTGACTGGACCATTCCTTTAAATCACCATCAACCATCAACTCAATTGTAAGCCAACTATACCTCAAAAACACTAATAACTAATAATCTGTCATCATATCAAATCATATTAGAACTCAGAATTTCCCGTTACCTTGTTAACATCCTCTGGCATTTCAAAACATGTTCTATCCTAGTATAAATCCACCATAACATGTTTTTTTTCATATTTAGTTTGTTTTATAAGAATGCCAAGTTTCTCAATTTATTTGCATCTTGCTGGGTGTTTTTCTTTTCTCTGTGTGTTTTTGGAGAGTCAACTGTTAAAGTTTCAGCTTGGTTTGACAGAATACTTAAAAGAAATTCAAACGATGACCTGCGCTGGAACCGACATGGTTACCAATAGGTCCTTTGGATCTATTTCATTCTTTTTTTTTTTTTTTTTACAACTGCTGCTTTACTAATTATTCAAAACCAATAAGGTGATAGCTTCAGTGCTATTGAGATAGGATCCCAGTTTTCATCTGCTAAATGTTTTTTTTTTTCACAACAATGAAAACACGCTGGGCCCCTCCTGGCCCCCTGGTAAATTTGGTCTAGGTCCACCACTGTTCCTCACCTTCACTAGACGTGGAGATACTTTAGTATATTCTGCTGTAAAATTTGTCTTATATTTTCGTTATTTCCTCGAAGATTGAACTTCTGCCATTTTACAGGATGCACAGCTTTGAGTGGTAACTAGGTAACTGCCGGAGAGTAACGCAAAAATTATCGGACTGATCCAATCAGCTCTCTGACAACCAATCACCTGGAATTCTCTGTGAATCGCTTTGGACAGATACGATGCACAGGTTTCACAAGTAACCTCCTCCCCGCGCTCTCTTGTTGTTTGTGCAATCTCAGTAGTTCTAATCCGCACATAGTGCACGAGTAATTGTATTGCCTGCCCGCTCTCATTCGCATAATAAAACATCACCTTGCATAGTCTATCTATATCAGGGAGACTCCTTCTTCTGGGAGACTTGGGATGTCTGTTAAAAATCCACGTTTATCTCGTCAGTTTTCATTATGGTCAAAAAAAAAAAAAAGGAGCATCAAATAATTTTGCCATCTTCAACGTTGACGAAAACAATACGGTTCAGATGAATCATAAACTTGAGGGCATGATTGTATCTCCTTGGCGGGCAGGCCGTCAAGATGGAGTGGTTCCAGTTAACTTCTTTGGAGAGTAGATTGCAGAGTAGTTCTCAGAATAGGGAACTGAAAATAACACAGGGATTAATAGGGACATGAAGTATTTCCAACTGCTCAAAGAGGCAGAGAGCTACCATTTGTATAACACTTCGGCAAAGAGTGACTGGCTCACTGCAATACTCACTGCCATTGTCATGTATATAGACAGTTTGAAAATCACATATTTATAATATAATGGATGGAAGACACATTATCCGCTATCCTGTATTAGCTTGCCATCAAGGTTGTCAATACCTAGTTGATTTTATAATTTCATTCACTGCCAAATGAGTTGTAAGCGTGCATATAAATGGAGCTGAATTATTTTTTTCTCATCTTTGTTGTCCTCTTTGGGAGCTTAAAACAAACAACATGAACATTTTTTTAAACCAACAGAACCAGTCTCCAATGTAGTAGTAACTCCACAGAGTTTGGAGTTGATTGAATTCCACAGACCTGGTAGTCTGTCTTGCTCCTCCTCTGGATCATCTCTCACCTTCGTCTGGATGAATGGCAGCTCTCAGATTACAGCGGGTGGTGGACTTCAGATTACTGATGGAGGATCCACTCTGACTTTCTCCGGTATCTCCCGCTATCACCATGGTACATATAGGTGCCGTGTTTCCAATCCTGTGAGTTCTGGCATCAGCGATCCAGTTAGCGTCTTTGTGAGCTGTGAGTAGTTGAAAAATGGACACATGATCAATTCAAAATACAAAAAAAAATGTTTTTAGTGAATTAATAACAGTTTACTGTTTGCTTTGATTGAGATGCACGTATTGCAATAACTCAAAAACTAACCTTACTTTCTGTTTCCTATACAATTAGATGGTCCAGAGAAGATGAGACTGAAATTTTCACCTGAAGAAGAATTCTATGAAAAAGGAACAGATATTTACCTCTCCTGCTCGGCTGAGTCTCAGCCTCCCCCAGAATATACGTGGTATTGGCGTGGGGTTCCCCTGTCCCATCGTGAACCGGTGCTTAACCTGACAAACATTCAGACAAATCAGAGTGGGATCTACATCTGCCAGGCCAGAAACAGCAAAACTTCCAACTTTATAAATTCTTTTCGATTGCCTATTTTTGTGTATGGTAAGTCTGAAAAAGTGTCCTTTAAAATACTTATTTTTTTATATAATAAATTATTAATCAATCAAGTTATCTATCTATCTATCTATCTATCTATCTATCTATCTATCTATCTATCTATCTATAGCTATTTCTCAAACTGACAACAATATTCAATATCTTAGAAATTATTTTGATAATTTTATTACAACTTTGCTCTTATTTGTACTTATCACTCTATCTACCGTATTCTAATGTTTCACCCACAGAGCGAATCTCTAATGTCACAGTAACCCCAGACAGTGTGGACTTGGTTGAGTTTAGCAGTTCTGTTCACCTTTCCTGCTCTTTTGCTGGATTTCATAAATTGATATACTGGATGAATGGCAGCTCTGAGGTTACAAGGAGTGACAGAGTTCAGATCAGCATATCTGATGGGGTATCCACTCTGACTATGGCAAATGTGAGCCGCTATGACCATGGATCATACTGGTGTAAAGTGATTAATTACATCAGTGATGACAGAAGTGAGCCTGTAAATGTCTTCATCAGCTGTGAGTAATTAATCGAAATGCTTTCCTTCAGTGAAAATTAACATTTTAAATCAGATATATAATAAATAAGGCCAAGATCCCAGGAGTTGGAAACAATTTGCTCTATGATGTTGTGTTTGCAAGGGTGGGGGACAACCTTTAATAACACATTTCTTTATCTCAACTCCACTTGACTGCTGAAGAGGACATTATAACGGTGTTGGTCAAGCAACCCTTGCCCCTTATTATAAAAGTTTGTTGATTGTTTTTCTCTTACACACAGGCCAGAGCACATTTCATCGATCTTGTCCCCTGTCTTTTATTCCTTGCTTATCTTTTAGCTGACCCAAGATCTATAATTAGAAACTTAGAAAATATATTGCTATTCAGTTGTGACTTCCAAACTGGATAACCTCCTGAATTTCATTTTTGAATTGGAGATCATGGTTTCATGTTTCTCTTTTAAAAACATAGCAATAGCACTGAGCCCAGTTTAAGTCAATACCCTCCTTATATTAATTTTGTTTTACGTCTTGTTTTAAGCAATGCTTATCTAGATTTTTTTTCAACATAATTTTATCTAGACTTGCTGTTTTTAAAAATGATCTTTATAAATAAATTGTATTTATATATATAAGTTTGACATTAATTAGATATAAAGGTCAAAGGTAGAAAATAGTAGATGACAACATTGTTTTTCTATAAACTGAAATTGATAGATTTTTTGTTTTTAAACCTGAATTAACACATAGGCTGCAAGGGTGGAATCAAAGCATTGTCTTGTTAATGAGAGCTGTAATGCAACATTGTGTTAAGGATGGAAACACATTATAGGAGATATCTTACCCTTTCTCATATAAATTAAACTACTTTTATTGTCTCAGATGGCCCAGAAAGCACACAGTTGGAGATCTCTCCATTAAATGAAAACCATGAAGAAGGTGTAAACATCCAGCTTATCTGTTCAGCGGAGTCTAGACCTTCTGCTCAGTTTCACTGGTTTCTGAATGGAGCTTTGCTGCCTAATACTGGATCAGAGCTCAGACTGATGAACATTCAGGCAAGTCAGAGTGGAAACTACAGCTGTCAGGCATTTAACAGCAAAACTCTGAGATATCAAACTTCTCGACCGACAGCCTTGTCTGTACTTGGTAAGTCAGGTAACATTTTTATATATAAAAAATATGTAACTGTTGGGGGGGGGGCATGCTGGACAGATAGGCTTCAAAAGCCTACATTGTTGTGATCCACTGTGTTATATGTCTAAGATATTTTTGTATGAAGCTGACTAAAAACTTATTTATGTATATTAACTTATATCAGTGTATTATCCACATTAATACATAATAACATAGAAGTGATTTTAAAACACGCACTAATGTGCTGTTAAATTTATTTTTTTTTCTTTCATTTTATTATTTAAAAACAGATTGAAAAAACTGATAAAAATATGATCTAACTCTTAACTTTTGAAAGTATTTCACTATCATAGGCAAAAACATTAGTTACATCCTGAAAACCTTCCCATTTCACAATATTTCTATTAAATCATAAAAATATTTGCTTATCCTGATTGCATTCTTCAATAGGATCATTACATAGAGTTATTGCACAGGGTTTCTGGTATTATATAGGGAGATATTTATATCTATCTATTTTGGACTGGGTGTCAAATATAGAGAAACCGGTTATTGCACAGGGTATCAAACAGTAATTGCACATTATAAATTGCACAAATTATTGCCATTGTAGCATCACATTTGTAGGTGCATGTAGGATAAGGGGCTTAAGAAACAATTATAAACTTACAAAATCAGATAAGGGGCATACATTAGCTAAGAGATAGTAAGCAAAATAAAGCACCCAGTGAAAACAAAAGCAAACTGAAGGCATGAGTCATAAATTGACACGTGCAGATAATGGATGTAATGAAGAGTTTCAGGTGAAACCAATAAACTGGTGACACAGGCTGAGGGGGAAACAATAAACAGGTCAGAAATGGAGAAACCAATATAATATCTGGATTAAAAAAAAACCAAATGTAATAAACATGATGAAAGAACTAACTAACTAAGGGGACAGGACCATCAAATGAAATTTAGTGGATCATCTCTCATCTCCCACTTACCCAAAGGGGATACTGAACGCCATATCTAAGTAACTTAGCAAGCAAGATTGATAACTTTGGCGAAGCAATGTGCCTGCTTATCAGAGTTGGGCTTTAGCCAATCAGGAGAAAAAAGGGGCCCTGGACATAGGCAGACTTTTAGGTCTGAAACCTGGTTAAGCAGAGTTCTTAAAGACAATCATGGAGCCTGGCTGAGTTGAGACATCATGGACTGGAATTAAGGAACCATGACCTATATGCAGGAGGCAAACACAAAGACCTGGCAACTGGCAGTGAGGAAGGCAGGGACTAAGTGACAGGATACAGCAAGGTTGTGGATACTTTGGGAAGCGACATTTAGAAAGGAGTCTTGGAGGTCAACGTCACTCTAGTAGTCTTGGGGGTCGAAGCTGGCAAAAAAAGTCTTGCAGGTTCATTGGAATCCTGGGGGTTGCAGTTGGAAACCCAGAAGGATGGCCATGGCAGAGTGAGAGGTCTTGGAGGCTGGCTTGGAGTTTGAAAGTTCCTTGGTAGAGGCAGAGGTCTGGGAGCTTGAGAGGCTCTAGATTGAGTTCCAAAAGATTGTTCTCGGCCATAAGTCTGGACATTTTGGCTTCTGCCTAAGGTCTGGAGACTTTAAGGTATAGTGGAGGATGTTCTTTTTTGGGGTGGATCATCAAGATAAGTGGTCCTCTTAATTGCCAGTCATTCTGCTGATATGTTTACGCAAGGCCGTCGTATTTGCTCGTCCATTTTCACTTACTAGTGATGAGTCTGACATAGGGGGGAAATTCCAAAATTTTCTTTTGGAAAGTACCGTAAGCTTGTATGAGCAATGCAAACAGCAAATTTTAAACAGATTGTGCACAACGAGAAATTGGCTTGTGCATGCTCTTGCATGTGTTTAATAGGCGTTTCTTTTCAGCAGGTACAGAGTTGTGCATGTGCCTTTATGAACACACCGGTTGCATATGACTTTTTTTAATCCCAGATCCAATTTTTTCCATGTCACACTGTCCGTGTGTAAAGAGGCTCCGACTAGGCAGGGTTAGTAGATCTGTGCAGATTTTTTAACTTCCCTGTGCCACAGGAATTACCACAATGTCCAACATTTGACTTGGGCAGATTCTGAAAAGTTATTAATATGGCCTGGGCAAACACACACGCGCCACTTCATTTTTAAAACATATAAATATAAAAAATATAACCGCAGATGTCTGGGGGACAGTGATTCGCCTAGATGTTATAAATGCTGGTGTACCATAAATGATAAATTATGAACAGCTTAGTTTTTGCCATCAAGTCGTTTGCCCATAGGAAGACGTTACTTGGATATAAACTAACGGAATATCTTCAGAACGGCTCCAAATGACACAATACTCACATGGCTGAGTAGAACATGATGTAATAACGTAAAATCAAGGTGCCCAAAAATAATCTCACTTGCACATGAACCTTGGAAATAAACCTGAAACTAACAAAATGTTATGATGGGTTCACTAGTGAGACCCAATTATGCAGAACACCACGGAGACGGAAACTGAAGTAAAAGGTTTAACAAATTTTTATTGTCACAAGCACAGAGTTAATCACAGGTTCTGGTTCAGGCCTGGGGAAACTGGTTCACTGGAGTCTGCGTGGGAGACAGTTCAGTTAGCGTTTGCGCAGAGGAGTTTAATTCTGACAGTTTCAGATTTGTACCTTGAGGGTTCTTGGTTAAAGCCTTGAGAGGGAAACTGTTGGGTCCAGAGATAGTTTGTTCAGCAGAGTCCGTTAACTGCTTCAGCGTCTTACTTCTTGAGAGTGAGCTGACCTTGGCTTTGAGTTTCCAGCTCTTGGTCCAGAGCTGCATGGAAATCCAGAGAGAGGCTTCAGGTTTGGCTAAGAGGGCAGGCTCGGCAGGTTAAGCTCTTCCTGAGCTTCACAGGAGAAAAACAGGTTTCCTGGAAGACAGAGACAAAGGTTAGAATCCAGTCTGGATTCAAAAGTCAGCAAAGGTTCTCAGAGATACTAGGCTTAGGTGCTAACCAACTGGATCAACACTGCGGCGTTGAGGCAAGGTCTGAAGACAGCTTAAATACTGTGGATCCTCTGATGATGGAATGAGCTCCAGCTGTGCAGGAGGCTCGACTCAGGAGGATCCACGGCGGACTCTGCTGGAGGAAGGTGGTACTTCTCCAGCTCCCAACACAAAACTGACAGACAGGACACAAACAGGATTCAAACGGGGAACAAACAGAAAGCAAACAATGATCTGGACATGATAGCTGTGTCATGATGGGTTTCTTAGAGTAAGCCCAAAATGCAGAACACACACAGGGAACTGGGTAAAAGTCCAAAAGAGTTTATTGAAACACAAACACAAGGATAATAAATGAGTTCTGAAACAGGGTTGGACTGGTTAACTGAAGTCTTGACAGGGACTGAGACTGTTGGTTAGCAGAGTTCATGTGAAGCTAAGCATCTAGCTTCAGGCTTAGCATAGCAGGCCTTGATCTGAGCTTCCAGCTCACTGCAGAGAACAACAGGGAATATCCACATAGGATTCATCAAGGTTGAGCTTCCAGCTCTTAGCAGAGAACAACAGGGAACATCCACATAGGATCCTTCAGGGTGAATCCACATAGGAACCTTCAGGTTGGCTCACCAGGGCAGATTGGCAGGTTAAGCTCTCGTAGAGCTTCAGGCCTGAGACTGGTTCCTGTGATGCAGCTCTCCCAGAGCTTCAGACCAGAGACTGGGTTCCAGTGAGGCAGCTCCTCCTGAGCTTCAGACCAGAGACAGGTTTCCAGTGAGGCAGCTCCTCCAGAGCTTCAGACCAGGAACAGGTTTCCTGTGAGGCACAGACAAAGAAGAGATTAGAATAAGATCTCACACTAGGGACATCCAAGGTTCAGTCTTTAACAGAAGGCTTAGGAAGCTAACCAACTAAGATCAACACTGCGGCATGGAAGCAAGGTCAGGCAGGAGCTTATAAAGGAGAGGTCTTCTGATGAGAGGATTAGCAACAGGTGTGCAGGAAGGTCCCAGCTCCAGAAGACCCACGGCGCACTCTGCTGGAGACAGGGGGTAATCTCCAGATCCCCACAGTAACTCCAGCCCTAAGGGAAAATAGCAAAGAGCAGAAGGGGATCCTCGGCGCCCTCTGGTGGGCAAGCCTGAGGATCCCAACAAGCTGTAACTGACGCCAATATAAGGGAAACTGGCAGGTGGATGAAAGGAGTGATTAGGAGCTGGACAGAACTAGGCAGGTGAGTAAAATGAGCAATTAGGGCCAGCTATCAGAGCAGATCAAGATACCTGGGCAGGCAGGCCATGAAGATGGAGCAGTTCCAGTTCAGTAGATGAATCCAGTTAACTTCTTTGGGTTGAATCAGGAGAGTAGTTCTGCAGAGGGGTTCTCAGAACAGGGAACAGAAAATAACACAAAGATTAATAGAGACATGAAGTATTTCCAACTGCTCAAAGAGGCTGAGAGTTGCCATGTGTGTAAGACTTCGGCAAAGAGTGACTGGCTCACTGCAATAATCACTTCCATTGTCTTGTATATAGACAGTTTGAAAATCACATATTTATAATATGACGGATGCAAGACACATTATATTCTACCATTTGTATTAGCTTGCCATCAATGTTGTAAATACCTGGTGGTTTATTTTTATAATTTCATTCACTGCCATAATTTGAGACCTTTGAAATCATAGCTCAGGAACTTTTAGAATCTTTTTAAAATTCAGTTGTAAGCATGCATATAAATGGAGCTGAATTATTTTTTTCTCGTCTTTGTTGTCCTCTTTGGGAGCTTAAAACAAACAACATGAACATTTTCTTAAACCAACAGAACCAGTCTCCAATGTAGTAGTAACTCCACAGAGTTTGGAGTTGATTGAATTCCACAGACCTGGTAGTCTGTCTTGCTCCTCCTCTGGATCATCTCTCACCTTCGCCTGGATGAATGGCAGCTCTCAGATTACAGCGGGTGGTGGACTTCAGATCACTGATGGAGGATCCACTCTGACTTTCTCCGGTATCTCCCGCTATCACCATGGTACATATAGGTGCCGTGTTTCCAATCCTGTGAGTTCTGGTATCAGCGATCCAGTTAGCGTCTTTGTGAGCTGTGAGTAGTTGAAAAATGGACACATGATCAATTCAAAATACTACAAAAATAGTTCTATAGTAAATAACAGTTTACTGTTTGCTTTGATTTAGAGATAAACATATTGCAATAACTCAACAAACTAACCTTACTTTCTGTTTCCTATACAATTAGATGGTCCAGAGAAGATGAGACTGAAATTTTCACCTGAAGAAGAATTCTATGAAAAAGGAACAGATATTTACCTCTCCTGCTCGGCTGAGTCTCAGCCTCCCCCAGAATATACGTGGTATGGGCTTGGGGTTCCCCCGTCCCATCGTGAACCGAAGCTTAACCTGACAAACATTCAGACAAATCAGAGTGGGATCTACATCTGCCAGGCCAGAAACAGCAAAACCTCCAACTTTATAAACTCTTTTCGATTGCCTATTTTTGTGTATGGTAAGTCTGAAAAAGTGTCCTTTAATATAGATTTTTTAAAATAATAAATCAATAATCAAAAAAAGGGTTAAATTTGTTTAAGATGAGGATTTTATAACTTCTTGGTATAGCTTCTTTCTGAAGCCAGAAAATTATGGTTAAAACTGGCTTAAAAAACAAAAGAGAGAAATAAATAAATGATTTTATAAGGTTCAAGACCATCGACCATTTATTATTGACTGAAAATGCAGGCAGGTTTTTAAAAGCCAAGATAAAAGCAGATGTTTTGGAAGATGTCATGTTTTATGGCTTCTTTTCCTTTTTTTTTTGTTATTGGTATAAATCAAGTTATCTATCGCTATTTCTCAAACCGACAGCAATATTCAAACTGTTAGAAATTATTTTGATAATTTTATTACAACTTTGCTCTTATTTGTACTTACCATTCTGTCTATTCTAATGTTTCACCCACAGAGCGAATCTCTAATGTCACAGTAAGCCCAGAGAGTGTGGACTTGGTTGAGTTTAGCAGTTCTGTTCACCTTTCCTGCTCTTTTGCTGGATTTCATAAGGCGATATACTGGATGAATGGCAGCTCTGAGGTTACAAGGAACGACAGAGTTCAGATCAGCATATCTGATGGGGTATCCACTCTGACTATGGCAAATGTGAGCCGCTATGACCATGGATCATACTGGTGTAAAGTGATTAATTACATCAGTGATGACAGAAGTGAGCCTGTGAATGTCTTCATCAGCTGTGAGTAATTAATCGAAATGCTTTTCTTCAGTGAAAATTAACATTTTAAATCAGATACAGTGGGGCAAAAAAGTATTTAGTCAGCCACCAATAGTGCAAGTTCTCTCACTTAAAAAGATGAGAGAGGCCGGTAATTTTCTTATAGATTTACCTCAACTATGAGAGACAAAATGAGAAAAAAAATCCAGAAAATCACATTGTCTGATTTTTAAAGAATTTATTTGCAAAATATGGTGGAAAATAAGTATTTGGTCAATAACAAAAGTTCATCTCAATACTTTGTTATATACCCTTTTTTGGCAATGACAGAGATCAAACATTTTCTGTAAGTCTTCACAAGGTTTTCACACACTGTTGCTGGTATTTTGGCCCATTCCTCCATGCAGATCTCCTCTAGAGCAGTGATGTTCTGGGGCTGTCGCTGGGCAACACGGACTTTCAACTCCCTCCAAAGATTTTCTATGGGGTTGAGATCTGGAGACTGGCTAGGCCACTCCAGGACCTTGAAATGCTTCTTACGAAGCCACTCCTTCGTTACCCGGGTGGTGTGTTTGGGATTATTGTCATGCTGAAAAACCCAGCCATGTTTCATCTTCAATGCCCTTGCTGATGGAAGGAGGTTTTCACTCAAAATTTGACGATGCATGGCCCCATTCATTCTTTCCTTCACACAGATCAGTCGTCCTGGTCCCTTAGCAGAAAAACAGCCCCAAAGCATGATGTTTCCACCCCCATGCTTCACTGTAGGTATGGTGTTCTTTGGATGCAACTCAGCATTCTCTCTCCTCCAAACACGATGAGTAGAGTTTTTACCAAAAAGTTCTATTTTGGTTTCATCTGACCATATGATATTCTCCCAGTCATCGTCTGGATCATCCAAATGCTCTCTAGCAAACTTGAGACGGGCCTTGACATGTACTGGCTTAAGCAGGGGGACATGTCTGGCACTGCAGGATTTGAGTCCCTGGCGGCGTAGTGTGGTACTGATGGTAGCCTTTGTTACTTTGGTCCCAGCTCTCTGCAGGTCATTCACTAGGTCCGTCCGTGTGGTTCTGGGATTTTTACTCACCGTTCTTGTGATCATTTTGACCCCACGGGGTGAGATCTTGCGTGGAGCCCCAAGTCGAGGAAGATTATCAGTGGTCTTGTATATTTTCCATTTTCTAATAATTGATCCCACAGTTGATTTCTTCACACCAAGCTGTTTACCTATTGCAGATTCAGACTTCCCAGCCTGGTGCAGGTATATAATTTTGTTTCGGGTGTCCTTTGACAGCTCTCTAGTTTTGGCCATGGTGGAGTTTAGAGTGTGACTGTTTGAGGTTGTGGACAGGTGTCTTTTATACTGATAACGGGTTCAAACAGGTGCCATTAATGAAGGTAACGAGTGGAGGACAGAGGAGCCTCTTACAGAAGAAGTTACAGGTCTGTGAGAGCCAGAAATCTTGCTTGTTTGTAACTGACCAAATACTTATTTTCCACCATATTTTGCAAATAAATTCATTAAAAATCAGACAATGTGATTTTGTGGATTTTTTTTTTTCTCATTTTGTCTCTCATAGTTGAGGTATATCCATGATGAAAATTACCGGCCTCTCTCATCTTTTTGAGTGGGAGAACTTGCACTATTGGTGGCTGACTAAATACTTTTTTGCCCCACTGTATATGATAAGAAGTGAGGCCAAGATCCCTGAAATTGGAAACAATTTGAAAATATATTGCTATTCCATTGTGACTTCCAAACTGGGAAATCTCCTGAATTTCATTTTTAAATTAGAGATCATAGATTCCTGTTACTCTTTTAAAACTGTCATATTCAATAGCACTTGGCCCTGTTTAAGTCAATACCCTCTTTATATTTATTTGTTTTTCGTCTTGTTTTATGCCATTTTATATAGACTTTTTTTAACATAATTTTATCTCGCTGCTATTAAAAATGATCTTTATCTAAATTGTATTTGGATATAAAAGTTTGAGATTAATTGGATCAAAGATCAAAGGTTGAAAAATGTAGAAGACAACATTGTTTTTCTACAAACTAAAATTGTTCGATTTTTTTTTTTCTAAACCTGAATGAACAGATAGGCTGCAAGGGTGGAAGACAATGTTTATCACCTGTTGATGAGACTTTGCTTTAAGGATAGCAGCACATGAGAGAAGATATTTTACCCTTTAGTTCTCACATAAATAAAAGTACTTTGTGGATTTTGTCCTCTCAGATGGCCCAGAAAACACACAGTTGGAGATCTCTCCATCAAATGAACACCATGAAGAAGGTGTAAACATTCAGCTTGTCTGTTCATCGGCAGTGATGGGCAGTAGCGCCGCTACATGTAGCGAAGCTATTAGTTTAACTACATTTTCAAGTAGCTTGACCGTAGCGTCGCTGCTTTATTTATCAAGTAACTTTCCTGTAGCGACGTTATTGTTTTGATCAAGTAGCGACGTAGCGTCCACAAACGCTACAAAATCCAGGGCAAAACTAAGAAATGAAACCAGGTTTTCTATTTCTAAACAACAATCAGCCACAAAACTACTGTAAATAGCAGTTTCAGCTGACGCTTTATAAGTGGCGTAGTAGCACAGGCACACTCCGTAGGGTTAAACAAGCGCACCTTTTCCGAGGCTGTCGTTCTATTGGCTGGAAAGGTTGCTAGGCAACGATCCAACTGCAGTCTGAGAGAGCAAAACAAATCCGCAAGCAGAGCGTAACTGAGACCCGTGCAGAGCGCGGTTTGTGCGCGAAGAGATGGAGGCAAGCGAGAGGAAAAAATATCTGTGATAATATAGAAAATATCTGTTTAAATCTGAGAGAAGAAACAAAGATTTTTGAGAGAAGAGAAAATATTTGAGAGAGAGCGCATGTTTTGAGTGTGAGCATTATAAGTTTTGAGTGCAAGAAGATGAAATTCTTTTCTCTAATTGAAGTTATGTGCTCTTGCATTATGGCAGGATAATTCTCCCATATCTATGTGCCACTAAGATACTCTAATTAGAGAGCAGTAATGAAACTTCGATATTGTATTTTCATGGCCTAGTTTACCTGACAGGATGTTTACATAAATCTGTTTTTAGGCTGTGCACAGATAACATTTTTTATGGAGGAACAGCTCTACCGTATATAAAATAAATAAATAAATGCTCAATAAATAAATAAATAAGCATTCAATTAATTGCCTCCAAAAATACAATGAATAAATATGTAGGTAGAAATTAAATTATATGGTGAGTCATATATATATGTATCTCTTAATTAGCTTCTTTATTTTTTCACCTTCTTTTGTAAACAGTTTTGTTTGTTACTTGAATCAACTGTTTAATTGAGGTCTTTTGTAGGGTTTTGTTTTCCCTAGAGATGTCCATTGAATGCAAACTCATAGCCATGTCTCGATGTGTAGAACACTACACGGTACCTTTAATTTGGTTCTAATAACAGCAGATTGTTTACTAGTTTGTCTACTAGTAATTAATTCAGTTTTTATTTTAATATGCTGATCATAAAGCAATGTTTACACTGTGTTATGCCATTGGCTGATCTTTAATAAATATTTTAACCAGTGTATCAGACTCATTTTGAATTAATATTAGGTTGGTACAACGTTAAGTAGCTTCTGATGTAGTTAAGCTACTTTTAACACATTAGTGTAACTTAGCTTGCTATTATTCTTTAGGTGGTAGCTTTGGCGTAGTGAAGCTTAATTTATTGTTGAGTAACTGATAGCTTAGCTCACTACAATGGACAAGTAGCTTGCCCAACACTGTTCATCGGAGTCTAGACCTTCTGCTCAGTTTCACTGGTTTCTGAATGGAGCTTTGCTGCCTAATACTGGATCAGAGCTCAGATTGATGGACATTCAGGCAAGTCAGAGTGGAAACTACAGCTGTCAGGCATTTAACAGCAAAACTTTGAGATATCAAACTTCTGAGCCCTCAGCTGTGTCTGTACTCGGTAAGTCTAGATAACATTTTTACATATAAAGGTGGGTTTCCTCAAGTCTTCAGGTCTCTTATTTGTAAAATAAAGTTATTTTTAATCATATGTGAAATGATAACACCTCAGGACGGAAGGCCTCTTTACCTACGAAAAGATATTTCAAGGGTTTATCTTGTAACAAAATGTCACCCGTATCAGTATATACAGTATATGAAACAGATGTTAAGGAAGAAATTATTCTAAAATAGTTAACTTTGGAAAAAGGTTGGCTTTCTCTCTTCCTTTCCCAGGTCTGCTCGGCGAGCTGCGTGTGGCCCCCAAGGAAAACCAGCAAGGCGTGTGGACGTCACAGAATTACAGAGTTTAATCCAATATAAGACAATGCATAAACTTAGAAATAAGACAATGCACAAACTTACACCAGAAACTGCAGAACAACAGAGACATACATTCAATTACCTGACATAAATGGAGAGAAGAAAGAAAGCAAAGACGTACAAAGACATCTTTGGAGAGTTGCAAGAGCAAATCTGATTTGTTACTTCTGTGTAGAAAGCTTTATCCTCTTGTATTTAATTTATTCACATAAGGCGTACCTTTGCTCCTCCAACCGGGAGCTCTCTCTGACACTCAGAAAAATTTGGAGCTTCACCTAATTTACTGCAAACATCTGGGGTCATTTGCTTCTTTGTTTTAACAAGAAAAAGCGGAAAGCCTGTCTTGGCATCTAGAATTCTTAAAGTCATAAAACACAAGATAAGCTTTCACAGAATCGGTGTGGAATGCGGGGGGCCTCTTTCCTGATTCAGTTTCACACCATCCCAGATGTTTATTCTGGAAGACTTTTGACCTTCTGTAAACCAGGGAGAAATCTCTCCTCCAGGCTCAAATAATGTTCGCCCCCAGGAGATACTCATTTATGGCCTGGTGCTTTAAATACTTACCCATCAATAGTTTAGTTTTAAATCATTAAAACAACCTTGTTCAAAATTAAGAAATATGGTCAAAATGAGAGTGTTCAACATACCTTTTACACATGGTATAAGATTAACTGTATTAAAAACTAAAAATAATCATTTTTCTTCAACACAGACTAGTTTGATGTTGTTTTGAACAGTTCAGAAATATTTTTTTTTAACCAATGGTTTCAAACTCCATTGCTTAAGGGCAAATGTTCGGCACCTTATAGATTTGTCCCTGCTAAAACAGACCTGATTCTAATGTGAGCTCACTAAGAGAGCTTTCAGACCTTAACTTAATGTTAGTGAGATAGTTTGATTCAGGAAGGGTAGGGAATTGACATATGTAAAAGCTGTATGAGAATGGCCCTCAAGAATTTGATTTTAAAACCCTGTTAAAGCTTTTAAAACTTACTATAATAAACTGTTAATAAGCAGTGAACGCATTGTGAATGATGTCTGAACTGCTTTTTGTAAGTGATTTAATCCAAATATGATTTAATTGAGATTTGCTAAGTAAACCTGAATCCATGTTCTTACCAACAGCACGTGTTTCCAATGTTATGGTGAAATCAAACAGCAAAGACTGCATTGAATTCAACAGTACTGTCAGTGTGTTCTGCTCTGCATCTGGATATTCTCCTAATTTCCAGTGGATGAACAGCAGCTCTAAGGTCATAGCTGATGACAGAGTTGAGATCACTGAAGGAGGATCCACTCTGACCATCCTGAATGTGACCCGCTTTGATTTAGAGCTACTGAGGTGTCACGTGTTCAATTACTTCAGTGAAGTCTTTAGTGATCCAGTAAACCTCTCAATGTATTGTGAGTTTTTTGTAATTTGATTTAATGCATATTGTCATCTAGTAAATATTTATATAAGAAATCAATATATATTTATTTACTATGTTGGACTATTTTTTTTCACTCTACAAATTACAGATGGCCCAGAAAAAGTGTCACTGACGATTTCACCAACTGAAAAATATTTCAAGGAGGGTTCTGATATACACTTGTCCTGCTCAGCAGACTCCAGACCTGCTGCCGAGTTTCAGTGGTTTCTGAATACAAATCTCTTGTCTCATTTTGGATCAGAACTCAGACTTACAGATGTTAAAATGAGTGATAGTGGAAGCTACAGCTGCCAGGTCTTTAACAGTAAAACTTTGAGATATCAAAAATCTCAGCCTGTTGCCATCTCTGTAGTAGGTAAGTCTGGATAATAGGATTGGTACTGTTATGAGTATGTTAAAAAATGTTGTATGCATTTAACTTGTGGAGTGAAAACAGCAAAGGAGGTATTTCATATACAGTTGCTCTCAAAATTAAATACAGTTTTTGGGCTATTTTTCAAAACATTTTTTTACTGATGACATGATTAGTGATTAAATGAATTTACTCTAATACAACTGTGTATACTCTTTAGAACCATAAAGATTATGGAAATTTAAAAAAAATACTCTGATTAGAAGTATTACATTAACATATGGTACCTTGGTGATTTTAACATTACATGCACATAAGTTGATACGGATGCGTCTGACTGGCTGAAATGAATGTTCTGGAATGGCCATTTCTGTCTTGGGAGATCTCTACCATGCAGTCCATGCAAGACAACAAAGGAATTCACAGAATTTATAGACTTCTTGTGAAAAAGAATATGCAGCTTTACCGTGAAAAGGAATAACAATAAGCCTCATCTACAATTAACAATAATACAAGCTGCCATTAACACTGAAGGGGACAATACACAATATGGAGAAGTGGTGTATTTCAACGTTTGATCAGGATAATTTGAATTTCATTTGTCATTATTACTTAAACATTATTTTGAAAATAATGAGCTTTAAGAAACAATTAATCAATATACAATAAAAATGTTTGTTATATTTTATGAAACATGCCCCCCAAACTCTACAATTCAAACAGGGCAATTAAACATTTGGGTAAAACTGCATTAAGTTTGCCATCTTTAAATGACCCAAGGTTTTCTTTCATATTTGCATATCAAATATTCTTGCCCATTATTTAAAGTTTAACTCTGATCTTTAACTCTCATCTGGCAAAAAAACAAGTTGTGTTTTGTTGTAATACTCTTAAGTATTTTGACAAGGATTATTTTCCAGAAAACTAATATTTTTTGTTGAACATCTTTTATTTTCAGAATATGAACATGAAGGTCTCTCAGGGAGCGCCATTGCTGGAATAGGAATGTCTTGTCGAATAGTTTTTGTTTCAGGAGTGGCTGGAAGCATCTTTATTATTAATAGCCTGTAAGTGTGAGATGAAGTGTTTTTAAGCTAACATGATTTAAATACAAATATTTTTAACTTGTAAAATTGCACTGAAAACATTGTACAACCATTATAATGTTGATTAAAAAAATTAAAATGTAAAAACTCACTTCCTGTGTTGCTTGATCACTAAAAAGTGTGATGTATTTGGTGACGGATATCAGACATTCAATACAGCAATTCAACAGTAAATTTCTGTTGTTGGCATTAATGCACCATACGGTACTAGTTAACCACCATAATGCAGAAAAGTAGAACAGCTAGTGGATGAGCTCAAGGTCAAACTGGTTCAATGTGTTACAATTAATTGTAATTAAGGAGATGAACAAAAGGTTTTAAAAAAAAATGAAAGCGTGATATGAAAAAAGAAATAAAACAAATGCAACTATAGAATGCAACTATAAAAAATGCAACTATAGAAAAAAAACTGTAGGATGAAGAGCTTGAAGAAAAAGTGTTTTGAGGTGAGATATAAAAACAACAATGAAAAGGTAGGTATTAGATGTGAAAAAAGTCTCTGCTCAGCTGACAAAGCAGGATTGTACAAACTTTACAGATAAAATTGGACAGGACTGTTTAAATACATAGATACAAATTATTGTGATTATACTGTAATATTAGAGACTGTAAACATTTAAACTCTTAAAAAACCTGGACATTTTGGATTTGCTAGCATTTTTAAACATCTGTATTTTTTACTGCAGCTTTTAAGGAACAGTTTCTCATTCATGTTTATTTCAAAAAGGTAAAGGTGTTTAGGATTGTTTTTTTTATTTTTTTATTTGGAAATAATCGAAGAGGTGCTTTCTGTGTCAAAGTTCAGCCCAAGTGTTTGTCTTGCATATTTTTCCTACTTAGGTCACACTAAACATAGGACAGTCCTCACGCTGCCCTTTGGACATTCTGATTTTCTTATCTCTATATCAGAACAACATACTGCCAAAACAGATTTCAGAATATAAAGCCTAACTTCCTGTACAGCAATTGATGTCATATGATTAAACAGTATACACGAAGGAAAAGTGGTCCAGTTTTTCCTTCTTTATGTCTGATGAAACTAGAAGAAAATGATTTTTTTATACTTCATCATCATTGGAGCCATCTCAGGTGAGATTTTTTCATCTATGAAATGTTTTTTTGTTTTTTTTCTAACTTTTTAATGATATATTGACACAGGCACTACTTGAGATATTTCATAATTTTTTAGGGAAAGAAAGTAATTGTAAAACAATTTCATAGCATCATATTAACTGCAACAATATATACATAAAAAAACTAAAGTTAAAACTTTGTCTTCCTTAGAATGGGGCTAGTGAAACACAAGCATGACTGGAATTAAGCAAATATACTAGAGGCAATGTAACAGATTAAGAAAACCATGATGGGAACTTAACAAAGATAACCCAGATAATTTGTAAAACCAAAGAATGCTGTGTAACTTTATTATATTGTATTATATACATATATTATATACAGATTCCAGATGCTCTCCTGGACTCTTAAAGCCTTAAACAAAAACAAAATCCCAAAACAAAATAATCAAAACTGGGCGGGTGGGTGGTGGGTATGAAAAAAAACAGACACTAATCAGAAGGGGGAAACAGATAGACAACTATAATTATCAGATATTAATATTAGAAAATGCTGGGAAAAAAAAGAGTAGAATAATGAAACCGAATATTGTAGGGTAAGGACAGGACAACATGTTGTAAATAAGCAAAAGCCTATAAAACTATCAATGCACCAATAGAGTCATGCTAAATAGAATGGATTTTCTTTTTCTTTTCAATTCTGTGTGTATTTTGGAGGTGTAGAGAAATTAGCATTGACCCTATGCTGAATATCTTTATATAAATTTAAAAAAAATTTCCTGCAGGCTCAACAGAGGGAATTGGTGTACTACCAGATGGTCCTCTGAACGGCTCTGTTGGAGGGACAGTAATGTTCACAACAAGCTTGAATCCAACTGAAACACCTTTTCTTGCGGTCAGCTGGGAATTTGTTGGTAATCCAGCATCTAAGCCCATAATAACCTCACTGCTTGATGCAAACATAACTGCGCCAGAATACGATGGAAGGATCACCATTTTCAGATCTACTGGATCTCTGCAGCTTAGGAACCTCATGCTTAGTGACAGTGGAAAATACAGAGTCACCATTCAACCTGCTGAAGGGCTCTCAAAGATGGGAGAGACCACACTGGAAATGTATGGTGTGTAAATATTAACTGAATATTTACATCTATATTTTTAAATGTCCTTGTGTCTTCTGTTTGCACCAAGATCAAGAGCCTAGCTGCAGACCTGCACTGTCAGGACCCATCATTGCAGACCTGCCAGTGAGGTCTTCTGTGCTGTTAGAACCGGAAGCATATTCAAAGCCTTTCGAAGTGAAGTAAAATGAAAGCTAGTATACTGTAAATATTTTACATTCCTGCGTTTATTCTCTGGCTCTTCGTAATAAAAAATATATTTGTCTATTCATATGTTTATTTTCTCCCAGGGAATTTCTGAATACCTAGATACATGGCCAAAATACCCAATAACTTCTGGTCTTTTTTCCTACAACACCAGTAGACACAAAATTAACTTTTAAAAATCTGTTTATTATACTTTAGTGAAAGTGTTTTTATTGTCTAAACAGCAGATTTCACATCATCACCTGCAGCATTTAACTTTCTGCGAAGTGTCAGCGGTAGTCACAATTGAAACATGGGTCTATGAGAGACAGATAATGTTGTAATAAGTAAAAGAAAACCACCCAAATATTATATGATAAAACACAGTTTTCTTGGTCTTTATCAAGACCTTGTAAATGTATGGAAAAGGTGAAAAAATAGGACTTCTTCTACTAATAAAATCAGGCAGCACATATACGCTACGTGCTATTCCTAAGAGCTCTGGATACAACATCCGGAATAAACTTAAGGTCCTGACAATACAGGAGACGCCAATTATAAATGTCTGCAACAAAGCGTCCCGACAGTGTAGGTCTCCAGCCAGACCCTTCTCACTATGATGTTAGGTACAGGTAGGTCTGGTGCATAATAATAATAGCATATAAATAGCTTAAATCCTGTGTTCTATGTTGTCATCAGTCCTGTTGATAGATTTTGGTGATTATTTTCACTTTGATGGTCACTTTAAATTGGAATGTTTTTCTGTTTCTACCTGCAGAACCAGTCTCTGATGTCAGAGTACTTCCACTAAGTACAGACTTGATTGAATTCAAAAACTCAGTCCATCTATCCTGCTTGTCCTCTGGAACTTCACTCTCCTTTGTCTGGATGAACAGCAGCACTGAGTTTACCCCGAGTGACAGAGTACAGATTACTAACGAAGGATCAACACTGACTATAATCAATGTGACTCGATATGAAGAAGGACCATACACTTGTTTTGTGTTTAATCCTGCCAGTTCTAACATCAGTGATCCAATAAATGTGTTTGTCAGCTGTAAGTTATTATTTTTGCTTGCTATCTATGAAAATATAGCCTAGTAGCCTAGTAAACTAGCCCTGCCCGACAGTTTGGTCTAGCCTCGATCAATGCCCCATGCCCTAGAACAGGCGGGCCAATCACAACGCAGAGATGTGTTTTGAACTCTGGATGCAAAGTGGGCAGGGTTTTGAGGGCGTGATGACAAAGCTGCGCGACGCTGGAGAAAGCACAACAAGGAAGATGGCAACAGATATTGAACAGTTCTTGTTTGACTCAGCTTTAGAATCAGTTTTGGAAGGTTTAGACTTGGGGTTTTGGTTGAAATATGAGGAGGAAGAGGCTCTACGCTCATTCATTTTTAAGAAGGACGTATTCGCCATTTTATCGACAGGCTGTTTTTTCTCAAAATTGACAGCTGTCCCGGCATGCACTGCGGCAGCAGCAGCTTTCAATGGAGCGCTCCGTTGAAAGTTAAAAGTTCTCTTTTCTGTTGCTGTTTTCCAATAAAAGTACATTTTAAGATCATTTGAGAATATTATACTTTAAAGCAGGCATCCCCAAACTCGAACCTTCCTGTGAAGTACAGCTGACTCTAATGCCAATTTTTTGTTTCATTTAGCAAAATGTTCACTTGATTTGTGTTTATCTGACTGTGTTAATTATTATTCCCCCAATAATGAAAAAAGTAATCTATTATCTAGAGACTATTAATAACAGGGGGTGAAATGCAGCTCCAGAGAGCCGGGCTAATGAAATATGCATAAGAACACCAGACATTTGTTCACTTTATCCCAGAGTGAAGTATATAATAACAACACTATAACAACATTATAATTACATCATGTCACCATTTTGTCAGCTTTTTTCCAGTAAGTTCTCTATTGGTTCTTTTAGTTACTTTACATACGTTATCCAGTAGTCCTTTGTAGATTTTGTAAATAAACACTGCATGAATGCATATGAATAACATGAGTATATTGTTGCATAGTTTCTTAATAACCACACATTATGTTTGTTTGTTTATGTTTACCCTCAGATGGACCAGACAATGTACAAACAAAAGTGTATCCATCAAAGCAACATCATAAACAAGGGTCAGACATCAGTCTGATCTGCCTCACTGAGTCTCAACCCCCTCCTGATGTTTTGTGGTTTCTGGATGGGAAGCAGCTGCCCAGTAGTGATCAATTTCTCCAATTCATAAACATTCAGATGAGTCAGAGCGGGAACTATAGCTGCGAAGCCTTTAACAGCAAAACTGGGAGGTCTCAAAAATCAATACCTTTCCCTATTTTTGTGCATGGTAGGTTTAAACATTCATTTAGAAGCTTTATGTTTTAAATCCTTTCCTATTTCATATGTCAGAACAATTGCTTCAATCTGAGTATATGCTCTTTAAAAAGTATAAGCATGACAGAACAACCAATTGTATGCTTTAGTTTAATTACTGCAATGTTTGTGATATTTTTAGAATCGGTAGAAAACAGTATGAATTGCAAATGGATATAAATGAGCCCTATCACTTTTAACTTGCTTTTAAGGAGAAAAAATGTGATAAGATAGTTTGAACCACTAATCTTAAAAAAATTTTTTAAACTAGCATTTTTATAGATATACATGAT